TCATCCTATAAAAAAGTCGTGTTTGTAAGCTCAGTCTTACACAAGTCAAAAGCTAGCGTGCTTGACGAGCACATCTGCAATGCTATTGCGTTAATCATATTTTTGTATAACAACAGATCCTAGAAACATTCTCCTCACCTCTATCCTTAGTAGGGCCATAACGCGAAGTCCTGAAATGACGGTTGTCAAAGGCATTTTTCCCTACGTTGAGTTTTGTCTCACATATACAGCAAGGTGAACACCAGCCTCTCTGAGTGAAGGGGGTCGCGATTTTATCTCTCTAGGTGAATAGGGTCGTTGACGGGATAAGGGGAATATCCTAGTGCCATTGAAGTTTCTGTGCAATACAGATTTGATTGAACGAAGCAGCTCCGGGTGGGTCATTGAGCGAGCTCTTATTATAGGCGGATATAGATGTTCTGGAATGTAATGAAATGAGGAGGTGGTACATGAACTACTTCAGATTACCCACTCTTTTCCGACGACAAACTGCACTATGTTGCCTGTTGACATTTCCTTGCTTGCGTCCACCACGTCCTGCCGTGGGGATACAACCGGACTTGAAACCGATGATACTAAAGCTCAACTATGTGTTAAAATTACATAAGCTGACAGTTTCTCTATAAAGACATTTTAGCAAAACACAGTTACGCTCATCGTTTGTGGTTCAATTATCTGTTCTTTGTGATAGGGATACTTACTGCAGAATTTAGTAGGTGAAAGGCTCGTCAATCAGAATTGAATTGGGAGTAAAGAATGGAAAAAGATGCTCACCTCATGTTTTGGTGTAGTCGCATCTAGGGATCACCTCAAATGTTGTGTGTGAGCAGGTGTTTGGGTTTGAAGTAAAAACCTTTCAGGATGAAGACAAGACTAACTACAGCGAAGAAAATTTATTACAACTACAGAACAAAAGTACACTAATTAGAGAACATGAACAAGGGCAAGCGAATGTACTCTAAAGTATTAATCCTCTAGTATAATTTAAATGTCGGAAAAAACCAATATTATAGTTGGAGGGGATCTAGAATAAATTAGTACAAATTGGCCATTTGAAGCGCTTAGTACAGCTTTCTAACGAGGATGCTGAGTATTTTAGCAAGACCATAGAGAACAATGTTCTTGATCCGTATGTTCACATTCCTGTCGATGTTTTATTTTTGGGTGAGATTTTGAGACAACCAAAGAAATGCATATCCTTCTTGATTCATTTACATTCTTGTACTCTGGCTTCACTGCTTGACCTGTTGTGCTAAGGTTGAAAAATCATTGACTCCATCACATTTATGCATGCTGAACAAACAATCTTTAGCCTTACTAATTTCCTTAGACATCAAATTTAATGCTAAGCGGTTGTTCTAACTATCCTGTTGAAGAGACGCATAGATATCTAATTATGCAAAAGGTCAGATATATTAAGAGAACGATTAACGATTTGGTTCATAGTTAGGAACGTGGCTAGGCGGGATCAGCCAATCACCTTTAAAGCTACAAAGTTATTGGCTGCTCTTCAAACTTTTCAGGTAAATGATAATTATTTCGTTTCGTTCAATCTTTATCGCTCGTAGAATCTGTTCAAAATGTAAAATCTCGTTGTGGTTTTTTCTAAGAAAGATTTGACGTTAAGAGGAAATTAGACTAATGTTCTTGCCTCATAGCATCACGCCCGTACTGATATTTCGCTATTAACTGCTCTTGTAAATCTCGAATCCTCATCGTCCGATAACTCTACATCTTTCTTTTACCCTTTCAAAAGTTCTTCCTAGGTGGCAAGACGCTTTTTATCAATGTTTCCATTTTGACGCGCAGTTCAGTTCGACGCATCAAATAACTGTCTATTTATCTTTAAAAATGGACTCTTGGAAGTAAGCGAAATTTCAACAGATATGAATTTCTACGGTAACGTCTCCGAAACTATTTTTACATGAAATTATCTATATTAACAGTAGGCATTGTGCACCAACCTGATGCTGCCAAAAAAGGATTTACTGCATATATGTATGCATTCCGACTCTAATCTCAAACTTAGGATGTGTTTTCTAATTGCGGCAAAACTTCCTAGAAGTAAATCTTTTATCATTACTTTACTCATCGAAACATTAGCAATTGCATCTAAAAAACCTTGGAAAAAAAAGTGTTTAAGCATCAAATCAATTCTTGGCCTTGAACCAAGGAGCATAGCCGTAGAAACCTCCCCAACCAAACGGATATCCATATGGATAACCATATGCCCACGGACGTGCCCAGCCCCATGGATAGCCCCAGAAACTCCATCGCTTGGCTCGCTGATTTGCCCTGAAATGAATATCAGTAAATCAATTGATGTACAGTATATAGCAAAGTACTTTGCTTACTCTGCTGTTTCCGCTGATCTTGGCACTATTCCATGAAATCCGATCAGATCAGAATCCATGTACTCGACTGGATTCACTTCTCCTTGATCCATGGCTAAGTTTGTTTCAGTATTGTACGTTCCTTCAGCTATAGCCCTATTCATCAACATCAGAGAAATGGAAAGGTACAGGAAGCTTTGGCATGCGAACATTTTCTGAAAAAGAAGGTTGTCCAACTTTGAAGTGGACATTTTAAAAGGTTGAGCCAGGCTGGACTCTAGGCAACAAGATTGAATAGGATCTAATTGCAAGGAATTGATCAGATATACGCGAGATCTGCTGCCTGAAATTTTCAGTGCTAAGTAAACTTTTCTAGTTATGGCTACAGAGCATTTTCTGTTGTAATAAAGCGGTCGGGGCTTGAGATATGTTGGTTCTGAAAGATGAGCTGTACCTTCACAGAAAAGCCGCCTCTTTTATACTACTAATGTCACTCACTAAATCTAAACAACTGACGAAAAAAGCATAACAAAGATTGCTGCTCTCTTGATGAGCAAATAAACTGAAAATTCCGATTAGTCGTTGAAATAATATCAAAGAATGTCAACACGTATTGCGAGGATAGGTTTAGTTTGAATTGTTGACCTTGTGTCCCAAGAAAATAGTAAAAAAGTTAGAGTTATTTTTAGTTGTAGGTGATAAAGCAGGGGATATAATTGATAGGCGAAATTAGCTACCGCAATACACAGTGCTTATATAGTATATTTTACTTCATATGTTTATATTATAGGAAGTAAGCTTATCCTTAACTAGAAAATAATTTACAAGTAATTTTGCTATTGTCCGTTTGTACTTCTCATACTATGTTTGTATATATGAATACGACTACAGCAGCAGAGGGTAAATCTCTTCAGCTCGAGTATCCATTTGATATCTGTTTAGTCACATTCCAATTTTTCCAGAATATTTACCTAATGTTAGAGCAAACGTTTTCCTAATCGCATTCCTTTTTATCCTCCTACTCTATTTACAAAGGGAGAGCAATATCTAATTCGAGAAGTATAAAACTGACGTGTTCATTAGCTTCATCTCAGCCTGGCTACTTCAATATTCGCTCATCTGTTCGCTGCAAGAGCTACGCAATGGGAGAGAGAAGACTAGCACATTTTCCCTATTTC